ATAAGCAGTAAGATGTGTATGCAGTGACACCTAGCTGATGCAAATCAGGAAAGAGTAGATGCGTGGTGAAAATGTGGGGAGATTCAGATCTGGGTATTGTTCCTCATTTATACCCTCAGCCCTTAGATTATTCAAATTCCATGTAAGAACTAAATAAGAATGCTTGAGTTACCGATTGGGGTTCAACCTGTGGCCAGTTCACATGGAAATCCTGTTAGTACTCAGGTCAGCAAGGAATCTTTCACAAGTGCAGTGTCCTCTTCTCTGCTGTCATTCTTAAATGTCTTAATTTACCTTCAGAACCTGAACTTATTAAAACCATTTCTGATGTTTATGTTTTCTATTATCTTCCATAGTAACTTCCACAGGGAAAGTTGTATGACTTATTTGTCTGAAACTTGCCTCCTTCAGGATTCATGGGGCTCCTACTATGTTAAAATATCTTGGTCCGAGCACATCTTTTGCAGCATGGATTGACTGCTGCTTATTGGGAACAAAAAAATTGACCTCTTATTAAGAGCACCATTACAAAAGATTTTTTTCAGAGCTATCAAAGAAGCAAGAACAAATTTGCTTGGTTATGCTAATTAGCCTTTCTCCCAGGGCTACCAAGTAAGACAGGAGTTTACAATGAGAACTATTCCCAAATCTAGAGACAGCAGGAAGCTAACCAAAAATCAACCCACAATGAATTAGCTGCAACCTACCCTGTTTTGAAATTAGAATATGCTTTCATGTGTGAACGACTAATGGGTTTCTCAGTTTGTCTAGAAGCCATTCTAAATCATAATTGATAAAAGATAAGACATAATCTTGCAAATTTTATCAATGTTAATAAAAACTGCAGAAAGAAATTTAAATGAAGTTTAGAAAATGGAGAATCAGACGGTAATCAGTGTGTCTCTATTCTGTCCAAGAAACAAGTTACTGATTCTAATCCTAACATAAAAGGCCAGTTACAAGACCAGCTTGATTGATCAGATCCTCAAAGAGTACCCTGCCTCCTCTGCTCTAATTCTGAGGCAATTCAGAGAGTATATCAACCAACTAGTGAGGGGCAGAGGATAGTCTAGGTTGTGCTACTCATTACAAAATCACACATTGGCATTCTGCTTTTCAAATATGACTCTTCTGAGTTTGGTTAGTGCAACTCATCTACCAAAAAAATCATCACCCCTCGGTGAACTAGAAAACTGAATTTTGGGGCCTACAAAGCTGAGACGCAGTCCCTAGACAATGGTGATTTCACCTAGTGTCGCCAGCCCAGCATGACAAAACCAGCTGGCCTCATGGATCTTTGCTGCAGAAGAAGAGAGATGCTGGGGCATTCTCAGCAGCCACATACTCGAGAGCCAGCCCTCACCTTGCCTCTCATCCAGTCACACTGGCATCAGGGTTTAAGAAGAGGGAATTAGACATGAGTTTACTTTTGGGACTTTTTTAGGGCAGATGCCCAGCAGAAGGGTTCTCAACGGTGACTGAGAGTTTCTGTCTCCCCTAGAACCCACAGTTCAATGAACAGACTGCAGAGAAGCAGCCTAGCAGCCAAGCCCTGGAGGCAATCTGCTTGAGACTTTAGTCACTTCTGAGAGGTTAGAGAAGCCCTAGAAATATGCAGTGAATCGTGTATAGAGAGACAGCTACCTCTTATTCACCACCCTTTGGTAACCAGATTCACTGCTTCTGCCATTTAGCATGTGACTCCTAACAGAGGCTGAGGACAGTGTTGTTTTTTAAAAATTTTCCTACACATTCAATATAATATCACACTTTAAAAATAATTCCTTAATATTATCTAATACCAATCCATAGTCAAATTTTCCCAATTTGTTCTAAGAATGTCCTTTACACCCGTTTGTCCAAGCCAGGATCTAATGTAGGACACTATGTTGCATCAAGTTGTTATGTTTGTAAATTTCTTTTAATATACAATACTTCCTTTTTTCATGGCACTGACTTTTTAAGAAATCGAGCCAATTATCCCCTAAAATAGCTCACCTTCTATATCTGTATGCTTGATTCTTTGTAGTCTTAGCTTGTCCCTCTATACCGTGTGTTTTGGATAAACTGTAAGTTAGATCTAAAGCTTTGATTAGATTGAAGCTAAATGTTTTTAACCAAAAGAAAAAGTATAAATATTCTGGGTGATGTCAAATACTTCATATTGCCTCACATCACAAGATGGTGTTGTCTGGGCGTTAGTGGTGTTAAGGTTGGTACTGGATTAAGATGGTGACCTTCTGATTTCTCCAATGTACAGTTACCTGCTCCTCTTGTGACCTGAAAAAAGGAATTTGCATGGTGGTCCTTTGGTACCATATGAATGTCCTGTTCCCTATCAACCATTTGTCTAAAGGTTTTATCAGCAGCTAATAATCTTTGCCTGAATGAATAATTTCTCTTTGGAGTCTCCTTTTCTATGTCAGCAGGTCTTATGTTGCACTGTTTACTAGTTATGACATGAAGCAAGTCATTAGCTTCTTGGTCCGTAATTCCCTCACCTATAAAATAGGTATAAAAATAAAACCAATCCACATGGTTTTTGAAAGTATTAGTTGAGATAAGCATGTATGCATGCTTTGCCTGGTGCCTACTGGCCTGTATGCATGCAATAAGCATTGGTTATTTGTTATTATTGTGCTTTTCCTTATTTTGTTGGTGACAGCTTGCAGAGCATTATCCACTTCCTGCCAGTCTCAAGTTCCTAAGGCAAATGACAACATATCTGATGAAATTGCTGCAAAGGAATTGAAGCAGACTTTTGAAGAATATTGACTTATACCATTTTTTAAAGGCAAATTAGAATTTGTTTCAAATAAGTGCTGCTCAGATCAGTGTTTCCTAAGGCATGCTATAAGAACCAGTAGACCCCCAACATGCTCCATGGGAGAAGGGTTCTATTGTTAAAATAACCTCTGGGAAATCCTGCCCATTCTTTTCCTCTTATGGTTTCATTGTGCATATTATTGAGTTAAAAGTTCTAGAATGCCGTTCAGGAAAGAAACCTGCTTAACTTTGCTTAATCAAGTATTTTCTCATCTATTTGCCTGTGGACACTACCTTCTGCCTCTGCTTTTTTTAAAACCAAGTAATACATATAAACATTACATTGCTCTGCTTTAGATTCATCCAGAGGCTTGAGTGAGGAGGGAGTCAAAATGATGAGCCAACCCCCAGTGCAGAGTCGGAAGGTGTCTGCCACTGGCCTTTGGATCCTGAAAAGCCGTGCAAGTTAGAGGTGTTCTTAAGAGGTTCATTTCTTTGTTGGGGCAGGAAAAGCAGAAATTTGTTGTTGAAACAGCCCAACTCTCTTCCTTAGATTTTCTTCAAAGCTTATCAGGACTCCTAGAGGATCGCAGAGTCCACCTGTCCTATAGCTGTCCCACCGCCACTGGGTTTTGCCTAGGCCGACAGGAATGAGTCCCTTGGGCTAATGCACAGAGACCGAAGGGCATAGAGAGTGTCATGGAGTCAGACGAACAGGGTCAATGTCAGCTCTACCAGGTATTCGCCATGATCCCTGGGCAAATCCTCTACCCTCTCTGAACTTCAGTTTCTTCGTCTATATAACAGGGACCATTAAAGCACTTAGTTCAAATGGTTGTGAAACTCTCATTAGATACATAAAAGCATTTTTAAAAATATGAAGTGCTATATAAATGCTAATTAATTTACACTTAATGTTAAGGGTGTTCTTACTGATCTTCATGGCCCATATTTCGGGGGTCCACTAGTCATTCTTTTATTCATTCAACTTGTCTAATATTTATTGAGCCACTCACAATGTACCAGACACTGGGTTAGGTGCTGATATAGAGCACAGAATAAAGCAGATCTAGTCCTCACCTTCATGGAGCTTACATTCCATAGTGGGAGACATACGATAAACAAATATACACACAAATAAGTTTATCAGTATAGCCTCCTCTCCCCAGGTACTGATGTGATATTTTAAAAATTGGGTGTATTGCTATAATCTACCATAAGTAGATGCATTTTAAAGGTAATATCTATGAACTGTTCACAGAAAATTCAGAAAATTAATTTGTTAGTTTAAATAAAGAATTAGATTATTAATGTAGAACTAGAAGATACTTTAGGAACAATTTATTTCAATCCCCTCATTTTACAGATGAGGAAAACTAGAACCCTGAATACTGTAGAAATTTACTCAGTCACATGTTTGTGTGTGTGCATGTTAGAGAGAGAGAGAAATTAGGGATCTTGAGGCCAGGTATAGAACCCAGATTTCCTTTCTACTCATCAGTGCTTTCTACTCTGCTGGATTCCATCTGAAAGGGATTGTAAGAGCCGGATCCTATTTTAATAGTGTGTTATAATGATCACACTTTGATATAGTGTGTTCCAATTATAAAAAATTGGGGCTACAGCACAATTGATTTTTCCAAACTTGGCTCCATGAAACATTAATATTTTAATAGATGTTAGTAGGTTATCACTTTTTAAGTTTCTTTGTCAAGTTGGCTTAGAAAACCCTGCATCCTCTTCCCTACCCTACTTTAGAAATCCATAAATGCATATTGTGATTGAGAAAGATCATTTCTGCAGTAAGGAAACCTCTTCAACTCCGTACAACTCAGCATTTCCCAAACTTATTTGATTACAGAATCTATTTTGGATTATTTAACAACCTGATTAATGTGCTGGGAAGTGCAGCCTTAGCATCAGTGTGGTTGGCTTCTTGGTAAATTCTGTGAAAGCCCATTAGTGAACCAAATTGGATCATACACCTTCAAAAAGGGCAGTTTCTTAGGTCTTCGGATCTCAGGCTGACTGCGGATACAGGAGCAACACTTCATAGGATACATTTCCTTAAAATGACCATGTCCTTTTAACCAAGGACTGGAAAGGGTAACAATGGAAGTTTAATTAAAGAGTATGTTCTGATACATCTTTGTAGGAAAACAACCCTGTTTATGGATTTTAATTATCATTTTCAAGGCTTTTAAAAATTATATTGTTATGATTTTTATTTTTAGGTATTCACAAGCTCGGAGTTCTCCCAAAGGGTGTGATGTCTTCGCAGGACATCCAAATAAGGTAGCTGAACATCTTGATTCTGAAGTAACTGTGTATCCTTATTTCAGACTCGTCCAAGTCCACGGCTGTGAAGCCTGTCTGTGGCTGCTTGGTCGGGCCATCCAAACATGAAACTGATAGTGATATTTGAAGTCTTTGAGACAAAAGCCCAGCTTGCTAAAGAACTTTGGTTCAGCAGAGAGACAGGGAGGTACAGTGAAGAGAGAATCAAAAGCCTGGAAATTTGCTGCTGAGAATAAATGCTAGCTGCTCCCTGAGGTGATTTGTCTGTGCACTCCACTCTCTACAGATGTTAGAGCCTCTTTTTGAGTAAGGACCCGAGGTTCTTTGGTAGCACTTTGATATCCTGCTCGAATTCAATATGTGAAATGGAGGCGTCTCTCTGTGACTTGGAGCCCACAGCAGGCTTTGAAGTCTGATCCAATTTTTGCTGCCTACTATTTGATGTTGAAAGGATGAAATGAAGAAAATGTACAGTTTTTGCCAGTAACTCTGCTGAGCATATGTAAGATTAAAAAAACAAAATCCTTTGGATGATGTACTTAGAAATGTTAAGTAGATTAATACCTTCCTATAGGTTTTCTTTTTTCTTTCTTAGGGATAAAAATTAAGTACAGAAGAAAATCAGCACATAGCTGTTTTTATATTCTGGACTATAATTAATTTAAGAGTGGGCTAGATTGACTTCAGAGGAAGAAATGAATGAAGCAAAAGGTGTTGAGACTTTACTACTAATTGTCCCAAGCAGAGGACCTCCACTCAATTTTAATGCAAGACAGGGACAACTTACAACATGACCTCAATATACTTAGTTTCTTCCTCATACAATTGGGGTTAAGTGTCCCTTAGTTAAATGGAAGCCATGTCTTTAAGGCTGCTTCATCAGAGGATAAAAATAATGTTTCTCTTACTGGGTCTTTCTGAAGCACTCAGTTTCTGGGACTGATTTGCTGTCTTCTCCGACATGCCATGCTGCTCCAGATCGCCCAGGACTGAGTCCCTTGAGGGGAGCCCCTGCAAAACTTGGTAAGAAGAACATTTTTAATTGTATGCTGCTTCTACCATTCAAATGCTTGTATACTTTTTAATGAGTTGTTTGGGCAGGACTGTCTAGAAGGCAGGACTCTGATAGTAATATGACTTAATGTTAGCAAAAAGTTCAGGTTTGGGGAGCCATAAAGGCTGGAAGCAAAACTTGTATTAAAGGTAGCAGTTTATTGCCTACTTATGCCGCTTAAGTTTACTCTTCTGAGGGAAGAAAATAAATATCAACGGCCATACTTTTCCCTTTACTTGTAAGAACCTCAAATTAGGAAACTGCTTCAAATCTTCATTTTGTTAAAGAAAAGATAAACAGCTGACCAGCTTTCAGTGGAGCAGATCATTCAGGATCAAAATCTAGGGCTTGGTAAAGAATATGGATTTAGTGATTAGTTGTGCCCTTTTGGCAACAAGGCCATTCTTTCAGCAAGAATACAGACATCTTGCCACGCTCCTTTGGGAAATAGCTATTTCTGGCCCCTTTTCTAAATTGTTTGCTACAGAATATGCTAAAAGTCAGTTTTCAGGCTTATGCATGGCTATAATCAGTACTTCTGGAAGATAAAATAAAAGTGTGATCACAAGAAATATCTATGAACCCCAAGATATTAAGGACAATGTGGACCATTCCAAAGAAAGAAACCTTTTCAACTTAAAATACCAACTTTACACCTACTGTTGACCTCATCTATTTTTCTGAGATGTGCAGTAGTTTCTCAGGTTTCTCTTTTTAGCCTATTTTTCAGTGACAAAGTAGTACCATATGAAGTGGGAAATGCATAATAAATATGTCAGGACCTCTAGTCCATACAGAACTTAAGATCTTGTAGAAAGACAAGAGAGGATATTATAGCAAAACCTGTTACATGGATATGCAGAAAATGATAAGCTTGTCAAAGGGAATATTTTCGCCACAGCCAGACAGTGTTCAGGAATAAGAGGTAGGGGTAGGAGTAGTGCAAAAAAAGAGGAAAATTTAGGGAAAAGACAGTGTGGTGGAGCAGAATTTAGCAAGAATTTAGTTGGCATTTTTCTCTATCCAAACAGAAGACAACTTCTACTTATTAATTGGGGTGTTTTGACCATTTACATTTAATGCAATTATTGATATGTTTCGGTCATCTTGCTGTTTGTTTTCTATTTATCCCATCTTGTCTTTGTTCTCTTTTGGCATTCTACTTTAAGATACATGTAACTTTAAAATACACGTAAAAAGAAAAATTTGAGTATGGTTGAGCAGCCAAAGGCACAGATTCTGGGGTCAGACCTGCCTGGATTCAAATCTCTGCTCTCCTGTGTACTGTTGATACAGTTATGTAATGACTCCTTACCTCAGTACCTACACATGTGAAATGAGGAAAATAGTAGTTCATAGCTGAGGGGTTGTACTGAGGATTAAATGAGCTAGTATAGGTAAAGGGCATAATACACTGTCTGGTTCATAGTAAGGGTACATTATTATGTCAGCTGCTGCTATGGTAGTTATTGTTATTGATATAATATAAACGCAAAGTTCATGAGGTATGAAGGAGAGAAATAAAGTGTAATTATTTATTGTAAGGCATTAAGTTTTGGTGGGATAGTTCAGGGGGAGTAAAAATATATTTCATTTTGAATTAACTTGTTAATGAGACTTGTTAGGTTATAGTCATCTTTCTCAGTCTTTAGGAAAGTATCCCAGAAAGTCAAACTTATTCGTAAGTTTACATCTGACTTGCTGTAAATGGCTCATGTGCACTTTCCTGTGAAATTATTTATTCCTTCCAATCTAGACAGTTCTCTATTGGGTCTGCCACCATCACTGTTACTTCTTATACTCTTGTAAACAGCATCCTAATTGGTCCTTCTGCTTCCATTCTTTTCCTCCTTCAACTTCTCTTATGCACAGATGCCTGAGGAGCTGTTTAAAAGCATTCCCTGATCATGAAATTCCCTTCCTCCATATTCTTCAGTGGCTCCCCATTGCCCCAGCATCGACTCTAAGCTTCTTGGCATGACGTTCAAGGCTGCCTCTGTTCGGGTCCTAAACTTCCTTTCTAGCTCTATCTTCCACTGAACTCTCTCCCTCATCTGTGCTTCCGAATATCCAAAACTATTCTCTATTCTCCAAGCATGCCCAGTGCATTCTTTCCCTCCTCTCCAACTTTGTTCATGCTGCTTTACCTCTCTCCACCCCCCCCCCCACACACACACCGTTCTTCACTGTTTACTCTCAGAGTCCTCTCCATTATTCAGGGCTCACAATGGCTCCCTCTGTGCCCTTTGACTGCTCTTATAGTACTTATCACATCCTGCCTTTTATTATAGTTCTTTTCATGCATCTATTAGATTTTAAACTCTCTGGGATCATCTCTTTTCATTTCCGAATTCTCTCCTTGCAACCTAGCCTAGGTCTTCAAATTGAATTCTTGAGCATCCAAAGCTGTGATGAAATATAATGGAAGCAAGAATGAAATGAAACTTTCGAGTAAATGAATCAGAGAAAAGAGAGAATTTTAAACTGTATTTCTAATAATTCTGGAACAAAATAAATATCTTTTTGTCACTCCTAAATAAGTATAGCATACCAGTAGAACAAGCTAAAACGATCCAAGCTGTGTCATTTTGTTCCTGTTGTTGTTTTGGGCAGGAGGAGAGGGAAAGAAGGTTTAGGCAGAAAAAAGCATTCTGTAAATCACATTCCCCTTGACCTTAGAAAGCAACAAAGATGGATTGAAGACAAAAGTTTTCCAGTTTGGTTTATGTTTTCGAGGTGATTAGCTGCAAAAACAAGAATATATTCTGTAAGAGACATTTTAGCAAGTTATACCTTTGGGTTTAATTCTTTGCCTTAAATGACCCATTATTTCAACCCGTGTTTCTGTGGCAGGCTGAATAAAAATATTGTGACCTTTTTCCTTTAAAAAAAACCACTAACATCCAACAGGTTTGCCTTCTAACTTGCAGTGAGTGCTAACTTCATTGTTCTGTAAAGGGGTCTGGTGGGCTGGGAGGTGGAGGCAGGCATCAAATAAATCTAAAGTTACTTAATCAGGCCAGCTCTGCTCAGAGCAGGCAGGTAGAGAAGTGTGCAAATGTGAGGCTTGGACAAAGGCTGTCTTCAGCCCCTTAGTCAGAGAGTCTCAGAAGGTCCTTAATTGGTCCATTTGAGCCTGACTTATTCCTCACATAGGAGAGGAAAGCACAATATACCCAGGAAGTGCATAAAACGAATCACTTTGTCACTAGCCCAAGCAGCGAAATTATTTAATTGGACTGACAGGTGTATATACAGACCTGATCTGATTTTACTATGTAAAAATTTATTCCTTAGGCATTTGTTCTTCTATTTATTTATTCATTTACTTATTCAACAAACATTAACACTTACTAAGTGCCAAGAACTGTCCTGGGCCAGTACTTCTCAAACTCTTTTGAAAGACCAGTTTTGGGTTGATTGTTTTAATTTCCAATTTGTGCAGTCTGATACTTTAGTGAAATACAATAAAAATGAATAACTATATAAACAATCATACATTCAGGGGTTGTGTCAATATCAAATTGATCTAAACTTTTCTAAATTTCTTACTCTAAATTAAACTATTCTAAATTTCTTTACTAATCTTGTTGGGACCAGTAACGAGAGTCAGCCTGCAGACCACACGTCACAAGCACTGTTCTAGGCATATGTGATACATCAGGGAACAATACACTCAAAAATTCCTGACCTCACGATGCAACGTTCTAGCAGAGGGAGACAGCAATAAACAATAAGCATAATATATGTCAGTTATATGGGACGTTAGAAGGGCAAAGTGTTATGGGGAAGAAAATACAGCAAGGGAGAGCAGGAGTGGCCAAAGTGTGGAAGATGGGGTTGGAGGACAGTTTACCTTTAAATAGTGTGGTCAGGGTGGGCTTCACTGAGAAGTCTGGAAGGTGGTGAGCTAGTTAGCCATGTGGGTATCTAGGAGGAGAGCATTACAGGCAGAGGGAACAGCCATAGCAAAGGCCCTGAGGAGAGAGCATGCAAGGAATACATGAGGAGTAGAAAGAAGCCCATGTGATTGGACCTGAGATAGCAAGGCAGAGAAGCATAGAACGTGAAGGAGCCAAACAATGCAGGTCAGTACTTCTTAATATCATAACTAACACCCTGGTGATCTAGTTAAAATGAAGATTCTGATTCAGCAGGTCTGGATGGCTCCTGAGATTCTGTAACACTAACGAGCTTCCAGGTGGTGCTGTTGTTGCTGATCTGAGGTCCACATTTTGAGTAGTGAGGGTGTAAACTCAGTGAAATGGGGAGCCACTGAGCGTTTTCAGCAGAGGAGTGACATGACTACTCCAGCTGCTGGGTTGAGGATAGACTATAGACATCACCAATGAATGAGATATTCTATGTAAGTTACATTTTCCAGACAGCTGAAACTTTCTAAAACCTGACTCTCTTGCATGTTAAGTGTACTGAACACAGTTCTCCTTATTATTAGTGTCTCGGGACGTGATTATTGACAACAGTCATCACACTGGGCTGTAATGCAGAGAGACCCTCAGAGACCACTGTGGAATAAAACCACCTACCCTTGCATTGAATGACTCTCAACCTTTAGTTAATGTGCCTGATTGTTTTTACTTTCCTCTCTCTCAACACGAAGCTGATGTTTCTTGCTATTGTTAATGTGCTCACTTTTTGTAAAATATTTTCCTTCCCCTTCTTTTTCTCCTTTATTGTGGCCTAAAAGAAAAGGTTTAAGCACTTTTGCTGCACTAAAAAAAAGTGGATCTAAGAGGGGTATCTGAGGAAATCCTCTCTAAACAAAAGAAAGGGAACTGCCGTATGGAGGAGGTGTCTACTTTGGGCACATGCTAGGTGCTTTACCTATATTTTCTTAATGTGAAGTACGCCAACTTTAGTTTAACTTTGTGATCTGTTTGTTCAGGGACCGTCATTTTCTGCCCTTGGGTTTGCTGTGATACCTCACCTAAGTGAGGTAGTCCTGCCA